CTCTCTCTCTCTCTCTCTCTCTCTATGTGTGTGTTCTTGTGTATGTGTGTCTCTGTCTCTGTGTCTCTCTCTATCTGTCTGTCTGACCCCCCCCTCTCTCTTTCTCTCTCTCTCTCTCTTTATGTGTGTGTGTGTGTCTGTGTCTGTGTGTGTGAGTCTGACTGTCTGTCTGTATCTCTCTCTGGTCTCTCTATCTCTGTGTCCCTCTCTCTGTTTGTCTGCTCCCCACTCTCTCTCTCTCTCTCTCTCTCTCTGTATGTGTGTCTCTGTGTGTATGTGTGTCTCTGTCTCTGTGTCTCTCTCTGTCCGTCTGTCTGCCCCCCCTCTCTCTCTTTCTCTCTCTTTCTGTGTGTGTGTGTATGTGTGTGTGTGTGTGTGTGTGTGTGTATGTGTGTGTGTGTGCGTCTGTCTGTATCTCTCTGTGGTCTCTGTCTCTCTCTCTCTGTTTGTCAGTGCCCTCCCCCCCCTCTCTCTCTCTTGCTCTCTCTCTCTCCCTCCCTCTTTCTCTCTCTGTATCTCTCTCTCTCTCTTTCTCTCTCTCTCTCTCTCTCTCATATATATACATATAGAATGTGTTCAAAGTAGCCGCAGCGACAAATGCGGGATGTGTGAGGCAGAGCCATTCGAAGACCTGTTTTTATTTTGATGAAAGTGTAATCTGGGTGGCTTTCGGCTATCGAAACCTGCTCATCTTTTATTGCCGTGGTTTCCTTCCCAAATATCTTTTCAAAAATGTCGTCAGTTTCGAATGCTCGGCGTACGGTCATGTATGCAGTATTTCGATTGATTTGCAACTGTTTAGTGAGCATTATGTAATCGTCACCTTGCAGAAAGGCTTCTCGTATACCGGTATTCTCTGTTAATCCTCGAGACTGGCTCTCTGTATTATTTGATTTTTTGTCAGGCATGCTTAATTATGTTGCTGGTCTACCTTGTAAGATCTGTTACAACGGTCGAAGTGTTGGACCTAACAAAAAGAGATGACGGCAGCGGTTAGATCTAGATCTAGATCTAATCTAGAGATCTAGAATCTAGATCTAATCTAGAGATCTAGAATCTAGATCTAATCTAGAGATCTAGAATCTAGATCTAATCTAGAGATCTAGAGATCTAGAATCTAGATCTAGACAGCTGACGGAGAGAGATAAGAACAGTAAACAACGGATGTAGCTAAGAGACAGATTTGAACTTTCAATTCATTGCTGCATTTGAACTCCCTATTTGATATATGATCTATGATCGGGAAAAAGTGTAGATCTAGATCTAGAGAGCAGACGGTGAGTATTGGGTGCTTTTTCGGTAGTCCCCCCCCCCCCCCTTTTTTTTATTTGAGCCTAGATCTACATCTAGATATATATAGATCTATACGTTTGATGCACAGCGATCTAAGATATCAAACCTAACAAATTCAGGAGGGCATGCCCCCCTGAAACCCCCCACCATATTTTTATTATGTCGGGGGGGGGGGGGGGGGAGCGCCCCCCTGAAACCCCCCGAGGCGTACTGGCGAGTAACAATTGCTGGGTGGGAACAACCGAAAAAGCGCCTAATATTGAATGCGAGAGTCGTGAACAGTAAACAATGAGCGTCGCTAAGAGACAGGGTAGCTTCCCCTCAATCGGAGACCATGGTTACATCATAGCTTCGTAGTTTTTCGTATTGTTGAATTTGAACTTTCCTAAGCTGCATTTGAACATATCACTCGCATTCTTCTTCTTCTGGTATCTTGTCTGGAACAGACATTGTCGATCATGGCTCTCCATCCAAATCTGTACCAGCCAACCCCAGAAGGTCATGTTGCTACCGTTTTCTGGACCACGATTTCAGACTTTCAACTAATGTGATTCTCTGCCTCGTTTCCCCTCGGATCATTCTTTCCCATGATAGATATAAGTATATTCCAGGCCCTGGCGGTCGAGATGTCATAAAAATTGTAGTTGCCTCTTTCTTATAGTTCTGATCATTGACCTCTTGGTTCGCATCTTTCAAAACTGATTCATTTGAGCTTTTATCCATCCATCCATGAAACTCTCATCATTCTTCTGAGAAACCACATGTCTACCGCTTCTAGTTTCTTCACTGTTTCTTTGTTTAGTGTTCATCAAAACTTGCATACGAATGTGTAAAGTGTAAAGATTAAAGAATAAACTCACCAGACTGGGGAAACAACTCGTGGTTGTGATCAGAGCAAACGCTGTTTACAATCAGACGATTGTGCTTTCTTTCCGCCGACAACGAAACTTTGACAGGGCAGCCCTTTTTCAGAGATCTGACAGGAATAAAAAAAGACGACAGATCAAGAAACTGTTACAAAAGCAGCAAAATTTAGATCTAGATCTAGTTGTCTTCCTTATTCATTTTATTGCCATTAAATCCAGCGGCCTTTCTTAGATTCTTGACATTAACAGAGGGGAGACATTACAAAATCCACACCTGAAGCCGTGTTTCCAATAAGATCTAAAGCTCTAGAGCTTACATGCCCTGGACACTCTCAGTTGGAGGAGATTTCTGATTAATTTCTATTGCGGTACTCAAAAAATTTTTTTTAAAAATAATAATTTAAAAAAGAGAGACAAAGGGTAGAAACGAGAAGCCTGAGAGTGCAACACTGTTGACTTTAGGAAAATCCAAATCGTAAACTATGTGCATGCGTCATTTAGGTTGGGTTTTTTTGGACATTTCAGTTCCTGCCTCTCCAGGTTTAAAACCGAGAGACGAAAATGATGATGTTCAAGTTTTTTGTTTTAAATCACTTACGTGGACAGTTTTGATGTGCCCCTTGGCTTGAATTCACCTTCATGCTTGCATCTGAAAAATTAATATATTGTATTAAATTTAGATATAGATCTAGATCTAGCTCTAGTCTACATTGTACATCACTATCTTAACTTTACAATAAAAAGAGGATTTTGCACCTGAAAAATAGCAAAGTGCCTTATACTTACATCTAGATCTAGATCTTGGTCTAGCCTATAGCGGCTATACATGATACATAGCATAGATTGTACATGACTTAATTCTATCTTAACTTGACAATAAAAAGAACTACAGTCGAACCTGCCTTAACGGAAACCTGTATAAAACGGAAACCTGTCTTAACGGAATCTCCCGTTCCCCGTTGATATATTCCTCTTTAATTACCTGTATAAAACGGAAACCTGTCCTACGTGGAAACTAATTTTTTTGTTCTTGTGACGGCAAAAAAATGGCGCTGACTCAGCAAAATTTCTTGATATTTTATAAACAGTGTTTCAACAAAACCAATAAAGATAGAAGCCTCATACTTCGTTTATTTGTTATTTATTGCTTGCTTCTCCTCCTTACAGAATCAGATTTCAAATATCTATCATACATTTTCAAAATTTCACCCTCACTTTGACCAATGTTCAGAATTCCATTATTAGGTGATGCTGCCACGCAAAAATGGCAAATAACTCAAAACAGAATCAATATTCAGGAAAAGTGCTTCTGTAAGGAGGAAGGCATATATCTTGGGAATAATGTGTGAAAATTTCCATGAAATCTGACAGTAATTGAGATATGCTTTCTATAAAGTTACCAGTTAGCCGAAAATGCAATTTCGAGAAAAACGCAAACAAAGTTTTCGAAACATTATGCAATCACAACCATCTCAGTCTTCACTAAAAACCAATATATTCAGCAACATACACCACATTTACATCATACTATACAGCACCTGGAGGCTATTTAAAAAGCTTTTTTGACAAGTTTTTACATCAATTCCATGCCCCCCCCCCCCCCCCAACTGTCCTCTCACAATTGAATCTCCGCCCCAAAAATGTAAACTCTCATTTGTGTTTCAGTTTCTGTTCTTTTTTTTATGGGAGAAGAAGCGAAAATATCTATGTAAGGTAGTGTATACATTCAAGGGCTTGTGTGAAAATGTCTATCAACTCTGACTGTACTGTAACTTTCTGAGATCTAATTAAAATAATGGAGCAGATTTGTCAGAAAAGTCATTCTGATAAAAAAGCAAGTAAAGATTTTGCATACCGACATGCCCGTCTATGTTAATGCTCCCAAACTGAATTGTTTAGGTAAATTGGGTTTGTTGTTAATCTTTTCCACATAAAGAAGTCTTTAAATGATTTGGCAGGTGACTGCCTTTCTTAGAATTAGAAGAGTCGAGGAGACTTTGTCGAGCCAAAAAAAAACAACTGCTACCTCCCCTTCATTTTCTTCCCCAGTGTTTTGGTGGAATCTAAGACTATGCAACCAAGACAGGCACACTGTAAGTGTAAGCTGGCACTACATGATACTATTGATACTATCTAGATCTATATATTTTCTCAATTTATTTTATCCTAGAGCTATATTCTGCACAGTCGCTTCTTTCAATCTTGCTTGAAGGGGTTAACCGACTTTGGGAACACCGGTCTGCGATTTTTTTTTAAACCCAATAATAATGAAGTAAAAATAAATTATTAAGCATTTGTAGGCTGTTTCAATTTGGACAGTTTGATAGGTTTATATTTTCCATTAGATCTACCTGCAATACCACAAATGCAACATAAAAGTCTTGAGCTGTCAAAGGAAAATTTTTCTGTTAAAATTAGATGATTTAAATTTATATTGCAACATGTCTGCCTATATGCCGTGCAGTCTCAGCATTGAGAAGAATAGGACTGACTTGGTGCTAGCGTGTCGTACGAGGCGACTAAATGGCGAACCAGGTAGTGACTCCTGAAACAGACTCATCCTGCCTCCTGGTGGGGGGTTGAGTCACGAGGCTAACAACCTCTTTCGTAAAAAGAACCTGTTACAGACACACATACAAGCAAAAACCATTATCTCTGTTTGGCTGATCATGGATCTTCTCCAAAAGGAGAGTTTATGATGCAAGGCAGTGAAAGCCGAAAGGAAGCTGCTGGGCAGAAGCCTCCACCATCATCCAAGTCCAAGTCTCTTCGGATCGGCTCCTGAAACATTAGGACCCTTTCTGAGGCTGGAAAACTGCACAAGTTCTCTAAGAAATGCACTGATACCAACTACACATACTGGGAATCAGCGAGACCCACTTGAACCAGTCTGGACAGAAGCGAATGAAAGAGGGGGAGCTTTTCATTTATTCAGGAAATGACACTGATAGACCAAACAGGGAAGGAGTAGGGAAGATCATATCAAAAACAGCTCAAAAGACATTCAGGGGCTGGGAAGCACATGGTCCAAGGATCATCATGGCCTCATTTGGAATTAAGAAAGAACTCAAGGTAAGAGATGGTAGGAAGAAGGTCATAAACATGAACATCATGCAAGTGTATGCTCCAACCAATGATGCAGAAGTGGAGAATAAAGATGACTTCTACAATCGCCTGCAGAGCGTCATCGACAAACTACCAGGTAGGGACATCAACATTGTCATGTGAGATCTAAATGCAAAGGTAGGTTCGGACAATAGTCACAATGAGGAAATCATGGGCAGACACGGATTAGGAGAGGCAAATGACAACGGAGAAAGGTTCCAAAACTTCTGTACATTCAACAACTTGGTAATTGGAGGTACAATCTTCCCACATAAAATGATTCACAAGGCCACTTGGGTCTCCCCGGACGGAACAACGGAAAACCAGATTGACCACTTTTGCATCTCCCGAAAGTTTATACGCTCACTGGAGGACGTCCCAGTCTTACGAGGAGCAGACGTCGCATCAGACCACCATTTGATCCTTGGAAAGATGAAACTAAAACTGAGAAGATATGCACAAGTCACAGCTGGAAATCGTCTAAAGTATGAAGTGAGCCTTCTGAAAGACCCAGTAAAGAAGAATGAGTTCAAGTTGGAACTGAAGAACAGATTTCAAGCCCTTCAAGATCTGGATGAATGTGAAGTCAACGAACACTGGGATAAGATAAGAGAGGCAGTAAATGCAACTTGCCAGACCACCTAGGACCCAAAGACAACACCAGGAATGAATGGATTTCACAGAACTCTCTAGACAAAGTCAAAAGAAGAAGAGAGCTGAAGGCCCAAGTCAACAACAGCCGTACCCGAACTTGAAAAGGTTTGGAAAAAGGAGGAAATACCATCAGACCGGAAGGAAGGCCACCTAATCAAGCTGCCAAAGAAAGGAGACCTCAGAAAACAACTACAGAGGCATTACACTCCTGTCCATACCTTGGAAAGTCTTAAACAGGATACTCCTGGAGAGAATCAAGCTGGCAACAGATGAGAAACTTTGAGGAAACCAGGCAGGATTCCGCAAAAACCGATCTTGTGGGGACCAGATCGCTACTCTGCGTATCATTGTTGAGCAATCGCTTGAATGGAATTAACCACTCGTGGTCAACTTCATTGACTATGAAAAGGCGTTAGACAGCGTGGACAGGGAAACTCTGTGGAAACTCATGTGGCATTTTGGAATACCTGAGAAAATCATCAAGCTTGTGAAGGCCACCTATGATGGAACAAACTGCCAAGTCTTCCACGAAGGACAACTCTCAGAACCATTCCAGGTACAGGCAGGAGTGCGACAAGGATGCTTGCTCTCACCTTTTCTCTTCATACTGGCAATTGACTGGGTCATGAAAGAAGTCACCAGAAGCAAATGTAATGGAATACAATGGATCCCTTGGCAGCAGCTGGGCGACTTGGACTTCGCCGATGACCTTGCACTGCTCTCTCACACACATGCTCAGATGCAAGAAAAGACCAAGGAACTCAACAGCCTATCAAGGAGTGTTGGCCTACATATACATCCAGGCAAGTCAAAAGTAGTGAAGCTAGGAAAAGTTTCAAGCCCTGCTGTGACAGTGGAAGACACTCCCCTGGAAGAAGTGGACTCCTTTACCTACCGTGTCATCGATTGTAAAGGTGGAACCGAGGCAGATGTTAAAGCAAGAACTGCCAAGGCAAGGTCAGCCTTCAAGCAATTATCAAAAGTCTGGAAAGCAAGCAACATCTCACTGCGCACCAAGATTTGACTCTTTAACCCCAACGTCAAGTCTGTGCTCCTCTACGGCTGCGAAACTTGGAAGACAACGTAGACAGTACTGAATAAAGTCCAGACTTTCATCAACAGATGTATGAGGAGTATTCTAAGAATTAAGTGGCAGGATAGAATAAGAAATGAAGAGCTGTGGGAAAGGACAGGACAAAAGGATATAGAAGTAGAAATAGGACTAAGAAAGTGGCGACAGATGGGACACAACTTAACAAAGCCCAGCGGAAACATCACAAGACAGTTACTGCAGTGGAACCCACAAGGAGCACGAGGCAGAGGTAGGCCACGGGAAACATGGAGGAGATGCGTGGAAAGGGACATGAGAGAAATGAAGCTCACTTGGAACGAGCTTGGAAGGATGGCTCAGGACAGAGATAAACGGAAGGGGCTTGTATGTGGCCTATACCCTGCCAGGGGTGAAAGGCATTGATGATGATGATGATGTCTGCCTATAAGCCATGTAAACAAATGCTAATGCTAATCACTCTTAATTATAATATTTAATATAGAATTAAAATTTATAAAAAGTGGGACTCATTTCCTTGTATGATTTTGACTCAAAACACAAAGATCAGGGTACAGCTAAAATTGATGGATTTCACATGTGACGTCCGTTACGCTGTATATATCACAGCTCAATGTTTAAAGTCAACAGTTTTGCATTAAAGTATGTGTTTCAATGTGAAAACAGAGAAAACAAAAGGAAAAAGAAATGGCCTGAGTAGTTTTTACGTTATCTTAAAAAAACCCAGTAAAATTGTAACGGACGTCACAGGAACATTTGAGAGGTGAAGGGGTTATACACAATGGTATAACATCAGGAACAATGCTAAGATCTTAGAAAACTTCTTGTTGTTGATCTTGTTAGACTTACAAACAAAAGAAACGTCAGTTCTGGTGGTGATTTTTATTTATTATAACAAAACTCTAGATCTAGATCTAGATCTAGCTGAAAGGAAGGCAAATTTCTACAAGTACGAAAACTTGATCAAACATAAGTCAAGTCATAGGGTGGGTATGAATACCATGCGATATCTTCACTCTTCACTGCGGGTGGAGATAAAACAAAAAATCAAAAAGTATGTTACCCCTGAGGTGTTAGGCTATATGGATAAATGGATCTAGATATAGATCTAGATCTAGATCTAGAATCTAGATCTAGATTATATCTCTACTCTAAAGTAATGAGTCTAGATCTAGATCTAGATCTAGTCATTAATGGCTGTCATGTAAACAAACAGGACCGCATTAATTGTACAGGAGTGCCACACAAGATTTAGAATCTAGATATCTAGATATATCTAGATCTAGATCTAGAGTCTGGATCTACATCTATATCATATCTAGATCTAGATCTAGATCTAGATCTAGATCTAGAGAAATCTAGATTCTAAGTTCAACTTGACTCTTGACACTTGACTTACCTGAATGTTACTTTCCGGTAAACAAGACAATCCGCGTACTTCGACAGACCTTTCAGTCTCTGGTTGGCATAGCTGACCTGTTCAGAGCCGCGGCCCATTACTAGGCGCTCAAAAAGCTTTTCTTCTCTTTTATTTAGAAGCTCTTTAACCTCAGAGAAGCTGTTAAATGTTTGTCCAACAGTAATTGCTAGGCAACTCGTGTCATCTTCCATTTTGACTGTATCGTCTGCTGCTGGGAACTGGGAAGCATCGGTCATCACTCATCAGACCCCCCCAGCCCCCCAGTAACTAATCTAGATCTAGATATATAGATCTAGATCTAGATCTAGTATAGCCTAGTTGCCTAGCCAAGGCCTTGCCTATCACTCACTTCCTTTCCAAACAAATTCAACCAGGGGTCAGAGGTCACAATTCCACCAAGACACTATGACTACGTAGACCCCAATTGGGGTCTTCCTAGACACTTTCTAAAATTACACAGACAGAAGCGTCGGCCTACAAAAGCGATTGGTGAAATAAAGAAATTAAGCTTTTTGCAGCAAATTAAACTGTCTCAAAACTGAAAAAACGAAGGGCGTCTTGATCCTGAGAATATTTTAAAGAATCTTTTGGCGAAAACTGCATGTCGACGGATGCAGCCATTAAAAAGCCTTTTGAACAGCAAAATTCGGACACCCATAGGGCTAATAGGAGCTTTTGAACTGTAAACTCCTTGCGGCCACCACAAATAGATAATAGAAATATAGATCTAGAGCAGTGATGGGTACTCTTTTTCTCAGAAAACATGTAGATAGATCTATACCGTAAGCCTACAATGAAGTCCTCTTTAACCCTATCTGTACGTCGTGTTTTACTATCGTATCCATACGACGTGGGGGAACTGTGTGCCACCTCTTTCCAAACAGGAAATTTACTCGTTAATCCGATCCGTACGCGCTTTGCGTAGCAGTCTGTCAAAATGATTTTTGAGAAGTACTGAAAGTTTCAAAGAGATCTTCGAACTAGAAGTATTCTAAAATGTGAAGAATGCAACCCTCGGGGTACAAAATGACCCCAGGGCGTATACTGATAGGGTTAATCGAAATCTGTGGAACCGCCAGATTTTCTTCGGTTTAGATCTAGTGTTTAGCAGGGTATTCGTTCTAGGCAAGGAGTTTAGAACTACTGTAAACTCCTTGGGTCTAGGCTAGAGGGGTTGCTCAAATACATGTAGGCAGGCGGTTGGAGGGCGCCATTGGTGGTAGGTCCTACTTCTTTTCTTTTCTGTTTCCTCTGCTGTTTGTCTTTCATGTTTTTTCACTGCGCTAAACGATTGTTGTTGACAAGTTATGGTGTCGCCTGGCTTCTCTTCACTCAAACAAACAAACAAACAAACATACAATCAAGCAAAACGTGTGCTATTTTACCCAGAGATGGGCTGCATCTTTGGACAGGGCCTTCAAAACCACCGCCACAACCACCCTCAACCATCCCTAACGTACCCTCCTCTGCTCTACGCCGCCACTTTGTCCTCTCTCTCACTCTTGCTCTAGATCTATCTTACTTCTTTTCTGTCTCGCCTGTTCTTTGCCTCTCGCTCTATTCCCCTTTCTATCTTTGTCTCCGTAGATCTAGATCTATCACTTTCTCTGTATCTCTCTCTTTTTGTATCTCTCTCTCTCTCTGTATCTCTCTCTCTCTCTCTCTCTTCCGTCTCACTCCTTTCTCTCTCTCTCTCTCTCTCTCTCTCTCTCTCTCTCTCTCTCTCTCTCTCTCTCTCTCTCTCTCTCTCTCCCCCCCCCCCCTCTCTCTCTCAAAAGTAGTAGCAGACCATGGGAACTTCGAATGGAGGGCTCAATTGGACTTTCACTGTGTTTTATTTTTCTCTTCCTTACATATCATCATCATCATTGCCTTTCTCACCCTGCACGAGGGTATAGGCCACGGACAAACACTTTCCACATTTCTCTATCCCGGGCTAGCCTTTTGATGTTGTTCTATGTCTTCCCACTTTTCTGTACATCAATTTCTGTGATTCTTCTCCAGATTCCACGAAGTCTTCCCCATGGTCTCTTACCCTGTGGATTCCAACCTGCCAACACTTTCTTTTTTTTTTATGCAGCTGCCTGACTTTCTGAGAGTATGTCCAATCCATCGCCGCCGCCTTCTTCCTACCTCATCTCTAACTGGGATATGTCTTGTCTTCCCATAGAGCTACCTCCTTTTTAAAAATACATGTAGATCTAGTGTAAATTATGTGTCTTCCATAGGCTAGGCCTCTAGGCCTTCATAAGAAAAGTGTGTGTACTCCCGGAGGTCCGCGCAAAATAGATAAAAGTCGCGTCACGATGACATGGATTCCATGTTGAGAACCATAGCTATGGGGTACATAAAAGCGGAACCAATAAATTGGCAAAAAGATATTATTAATCCGCATACAGGGAAAAGAGGCTAAAACAGCACCTGGACATGGATGGCTGGTGCCTCTATAAATAAATCATTGATGGTCAGGTCAATGACATGGATGGCTGGTGTCTCTTAAAATAAATTATCGATGGTCAAGGCTTGAGGGGACATCCTCTGTTTGTCCAGGAAAACCCCAGCCTTGACGGATCGTTCAATCTAACGAGTCCAAAGTCAATATATATAGATCTAGGCTATGTGTCCACCTTTACGAGGATATAGGAGGAGCGAACTCAGTTCTGTATATCCGTTTGGGATATAGATCTACAGCCGTTCCGGACAGCAGACTTATACTGGGTGCCCATTGTGAATGAGTCGGGCTAAGGGTTTGTGTCATGATAGCCGCTTTGCTCCCTCAGTCTGGCTAGCAAACCGACCCGACCCGACCCGACACGATCATGCCAATGGGCACACGGTATAAGATCTGTTGGAGCCTCACATCTCTCCAGGTGAGTGGTTGGTAGGTGCTCTGATGCGGTTTGCTCCTTCTTTCCTATCAAACATCTATCGTCCTTATCTCTCATCCTTTTTTGTGTTTGTTACTCTCTTGTAAAATCTTTAATCTTCGGCACTTCTATGATCTTATTGTGTTGCAAGTGCTGTAAAACTATTACTAAAAACAAACTTTAAAAACATATGTCCAGGGCCAGGGGAACCAACCAGGGAGGATGGGGCGTCTGCGACAGGGAGCGTCGTTGGCGGTCCCAGCCAGTTCTGTCCCCATGGGTTTATGCACCCCGCATAATTTAGCAAAATTTGATTTAAAAAAAAAAAATTTTTTTTGAGGGGGGCATAATTTCTGATTACTTTTCTTTTATCATTCTTTGTTAAAATTAGCAGAATCGCATAATTTCACATTTTGGGGTTCAGTTTGCATAATTTCAAAATTTTTTTTGGCGTAAAACCGCAGGGACAGCCTGTAGGACTAGGGCCATGGTCAGCGAACATCCTGCAGGGCCCCGGCTGGAAATGACATCGACGTGTATACACGGCCCCTTTCAGGGCTATCACATTTCCAACTGGTAAAAGGATGGGTATTTACTGTCATCATCATGTTTTATTATATGACATGTTATATGTTTGTTGAAGGTAAAGATGTCGTAAATCTTCTTCTTCTTCTTCTTCTTCTTCTTCTTCTTCTTCTTCTTCTTCTTCTTCTTCTTCTTCTTCTTCTTGGAGCGAACTCGGATTCAACGAAAACTCATTCAACAAAGGGAGACAAATTCCCATTTTTTATTAATTAAAATCAATAGAATAACTTGGATTTAATGAGCACATAAATTGGCGAACTCGCATTCAACGAAGTCGCCTTTCAGGTCTCTCTCTCTCTCTCTCTCTCTCTCTCTCTCTCTCTCTCTCTCTCTCTCTCTCTCTCTCTCTCTCTCTCTCTCTCAGAAATGTCCAGTCCTCATCGACAGGTATTCTCTTGACGTCCTATTTCCCTTTTCCCCTATATATACATAGCTTTCAGGTCAAGGCTGTCCTGTGGAACTCATGAGAAGCAATCGCAAGCAACTAAGCAACATACGAGTTCCCCTCATTATGTTCTGCCATCATCCATTTATTGGCTGCACCATTGCAACCCCACTAAAATGAAGTTCAGTCGGTGTCGCCTTTTGCACCTGCTCGCATCAAAATTCCTTTTCGCTTCATAAACAACAATGAAGTAGCACAGAGCTGAGAAATTAGAATAATCGTTGCGAAAAGAAAATCTAATCTAAACACGTGAACAAGTATTATATAGGAATATTTTACTTTAAGCATTAGAATCTACTACCCGTACGTGCTACGTGCATGTAATTTACGTATATACGGCCATTCAACCCAACCTCTTTGTGTCAACATCTTCTTTGTCGCAATTCGCAATGTTTCAGGTAAAGTTTTTGCACCCTAGTCTAAGGGAGGCAAACGAGTAATTTCTATGGCGCTCGAGAGTTACTGCGCTTGTGGCGAGCTAAGTGCGTGTAGTTTCGACTGGTCTGGGTGGGTGGGAAGTGAAGACACGACGTATCATTAGACTAAATTAGATCTAGATCTATACCAATATAAAGGAGAAAAAGGGGACAAAGCAAAATGAAATACATATCAGATTCAGATTTGAAATTTTCAGAGACTGTCGAATAAAAATAAATAGGCTAACCATAGGAAATTAATTGCGAATTCTGTTAGTTTTCTCTTCATACGATGTTTAAAAAAATTAATCAAATAAATAGATAAAATCACACATCATTTTCTTCCGCAAACATAGACATGGACATACACAAACACACACTGTTTTCTTCCTTAGACACACAAACACGCACTACAAAACTATTTTTCATCAGCGATTACTAAAAGACAAAAGTAATTTTTTCTCTCCCAAATTCAGACATTTTTTTCTTGTTGTTATAGACAATGCGGCCGATAAACAATACACATCGGTCGCAATAATAATAAAAAAACAACCAAAACGTTTTCATCGCTAAATTCATCCTTCTGTCCATTGGCTATAGATAGATTCTGGGTCTTGCTCGTAACCGATGAAATAATTTTTTGATCCAGATGAGACGAATATTCCGACTAATTTAAGACACCATGGGGAAATTTCTGGTCTTGTTAATCAAGCAGGCTGTCCACAGCGCTCATTATATAAGCCATTCATTTGTTTGTTTGGTTTGAGTAAAAGTAGAGAGCAATCGACACCAGCATGGGCGCTCATAGTGCAGGAGGGAAACGCAGTAGATCTAGATCTAGATTCATCAGACAGGAACAGCAACAGCCGAGGCGAAAAAGAGTGACTACTCTAGGCCTAGCTTGAAGAAATTTTAAGCTAAATCCTTTTGGGAGAACAAATTAAATTAACCTCTCAAAACTTATCAAATTGAATAGGTATAGCCATCTAGAGACTAGTTATTCGTATTCATCGACAATTATTAAACTGAACACCCAATGCTCGACAACTGCATCTTTCTCTATACTCATTCTCGGCCGAGTCCCGTAAATCAGTGAGCCACACCCCCCAGCTTCCACCAAAATTTATCTTCTAGCCACGCATCAATTATCAAAGATTTAAAACGTACGATTATAATTATTTTTAAAATAGGATAATGTGAGATTTAAAGTACAGCAATCTCACAAATCAGATTATAGTGAACTTAAAGTAATTTCTATACGTCTTGATCACGGGACCTTTGGAGAACAGCCTACACACGGACACGTAGGCCTATGCTCGGCTAATCAACCGCACTGCTCATACAGCGAAGAGAAGTAAGAAAAAATTAAGTGTGTTCGTTGAAATTAGATACAGTGCGAGTCATACTGTAAAACGCTTCTTTCGCAAAAAATGGGAAAACGCATATTTTGTAGTATTTATCATGATAATCATTGAAAAATTCGATCTCTGTTGTTTATTTTCTCGTTGAGAAAATACCAACGTCCCAGGCCCAAATCTAGATCTAGCAATCGCCGCCATTGTGAGTGAGCAGTGTTTGTGAAGCAGGATAGGTCTAGTTGAAATCGAGAGGGAAATTACTTGCTCAAGAGGTGCACTCTGACACGCGTGCCCACGTGTTGGAAGAATAATCTAACAAGAAATAATTAAAATGTGTCATAACGAACAATAAAAACGAAGGACCGTCGCATGTCATGTATTGAAAACGGCCGCTACTTTTTTGGCCCTCTCTTCCGACCCATGAAGCTCCGCTGTGTCTTTTCGCATTGAAATCTTCCCCCGCCCTATAGGAAAAAGAAACCAACCTCCCTGAAAAAATCGACAAAATGTTTGAGTCCAAAACATTTTCATATTAAAACACCTAATTTAATCAATGCACAAACAAAATGGAAGCAAATAACTACCCAAGAAAAATTTAGAATCGACAAATTTGTTTCCATTCTACCCCAACACAGCAACGGGGAAACGACAACAAACGAAGCACATTCCAGCCCTGTCGGGATCGAAAATATTGATTTAATTACCGATTTATGCAACTCATATGTTAGCAACATCATGTACACTCTTACAAAGTTGAAATATATTTAAGATAAGGTTATTTCAAACGTATAAAAGACTTGCAGTGGTTTTTTTCTAACGAGAAAGCTAGGTCTAAATCTGTACTTGACGGGAAGGTCGCGGCCATTACGGGTTTCAAAGCTGTTTGTGTTGTTCTTTTTGTTGGGTCTACAATCGACTCAAACAGTCTTAATATTCTATTATACTTTGTCAGATAGATCCAACGATCACCAAAGTTATTTTTATGCATTCAGAAGTACGTTTTGTTGACGCAGAAATTATAATAAGTGATATTAGCGGGGTTGTTTTCAGTGAGAAGATACCTGTCCCACCGCCATTTTCGCTCTGGAAACCAGCACTTTTTGTTTTCGGGCGAAGTATTTAAAACGATGGTACGGGTACATTAAATTTGTTTTAAAAAATATTTCAATAATAAAAGATACTTTAGTAGCAATATTATAACATCCCACCGTTTAAAATGCCGGAGACAGGTATGAAAGACATAAAGAAGTGTAAATTCCTTGCGTGTCGTTCACTGCAACGGTCGGAAATGTGCTGGGTGGGGATACGAAAAAATAGTATTGAGCACTAAAAACAACTAATCATAATAAGAAAACAGTTTTAAGTCAAGATAAAATAAGTAAATAATCATGAAAAATAAAAAAATCAAGACTTTATAGTATAGAACGATTCGAAATTTAATTATTTTCAATACAGCGAAATGCTAACACCTGACTTGCACCGAAGGTAAAACTGAAATATGGGTGAAAAAATTGGTTTAAAATCGGAGAAACACAATGGAAAACATACTCAGACCACTTTACTAACGTTTTTAATGTAGCTTTTGTTCCAGTATACCTTTATAGTAAAGTTACATGATTAAAACTTAACGACCTTACACAAATCTATCGCGCGCATCGCGAACGGCGACAATCGCGTCGAACTCGAAACACTGTGACGTAGATGCTTTCTCGGACGTCCGCGCGGAAGGGTTATAAAAACGCAGCAACGCAGATTGAGAATCATTCGCCTTCGAGCCCTCTGAATTAGCACAACTTCGACTCGCAAACTTCACCACTCGCTTCACAATGTCTGACGCTCCCGCCGCACCCGCCGTCAAGGCCGCGCCCAAGAAGAAGGCAACCAAGCCCAAGGTTCCTGCCGCTCACCCTCAGTACAAAGTGATGGTTGCTGCTGCCATCTCCGCACTGAAGGAGCGTGGTGGTTCCTCCCGCCAGGCTATCCTGAAGTACATTCAGGCTAACTACAAGGTCGGAGATAATCCCACCGCCATTAACGCCCGCCTCAAGACTACCCTGAAGGCTGGCGTCAAAGGTGGTACCCTGAAACAATCTAAGGGAACCGGTGCATCTGGCTCTTTCCGTTTGGGAGACAAGAAAGTGGCTGAGAAGAAGCCCAAGAAGAAGCCTGCTGCCAAAAAGCCCAAGTCCCCCAAGAAGAAACCTGCTGCCAAGAAACCAGCAGCCAAGAAGCCCAAGTCTCCCGCAAAGAAGGCTGCCAAAAAGCCAGCTGCCAAGAAACCCAAGAGCCCTGCCAAGAAAGCGGCTGCCAAAAAACCCGCCAAGAAGCCAGCAGCCAAAAAGCCAGCAGCCAAGAAAGCAGCCCCCAAGGCCAAGAAACCTGCTGCCAAGAAGTAGATTGTCAACTACAGACGCCTGCTTCACGCCTCACAAACAGGTCCTTTTCAGGACCAACCCCAGTAATCCAGAAGATGGGATCTTCAATCTGACGTTAAAACCAAAACCATACTCGAACCTACTGCTTTGCTAATTCCTACTTTCTATTTCCTATCCTTTCTGCTTTTTTTCCCCCAGCTACTATGTCCCCTTTACGCTGCCTGTTTTCAATCTTCAGTATTGAAATCACTAGGCTACATGTATCACTATCTTCATCATTCTTGCCTCCCCAAGGCGGCCGGTTTTCTGTTGTCTGGGATCTTCAGTCTGACGTTAAAACCAAAAGCTAATCCCTACTCACTACTGCTCACAAACCTCCTGCTTTTCTAATTCCTACTTTCTGCCGTGCTATTCACCATCCTTTTTCAGCTACACTTCCATTCTCCTTTGTCCCTTTTCAAAAGCAAATCCTTGATGAACTGCCTCTTTCAATCAATTAAAACCGTGCGATTCTTTTTTTCATTGAAATCGCTACATGATTCATGATGTACATGTATCATCACTATCTTTCACTTTTCTACCGTAAACTTTATTTGGAACCACTGTCTCCCCAAGGCTGCCCCTTTTTTGTCTTGGCGCTTGGCACGACTGGTATTCCATTCCACTTCCAGGTGGCATAGATGATAGATAGCTTGGCGAGTTGGGCTACCGGACCCGCACATCGTGAGATTGCGTGTTTCGGCCGGGGATTTGACTTCAGGCTCGTTTTAGTTTTTTTTTATGTGTAAATAATGTAATCCAATTCTTGGGACTGCCGCCACTTTTTCAAGTTTTTGGGACCCCTGCTCCGAGGAGAAACATGTCAAACTACCTTTTGAACTTTTGATCAAGACGTGCTATATATCTAAGTCCTTCCGTGCTATATATCTAAGTCCTTCCGGAGATGGACGG